GGCGAGCTGGGCTTCTGACGGGGAGAGGGGCAGAGGGGAACGGGGGTGCGGGGTGGGGGCAGACGGAGAGAGTGAGAGAGACAGGAGAGCGGGGACCGAGAGACGGAAGCAGGACAGCAAAGATAGGTGAGACCCAGGAGAGAGGCAGAGGCAGGAGACAGGTGAGTGAGGGGAGGAGACAGGGACAAGATAGAGAAGCAGAGACCGAAGGAGACGAGGAGCCCGAGAAAAATAGAGAGAGAGGATAGATCAAGAGAGGAAGGAGAGGCCGAGGTGAGAGAGCGGGTGGGTGGGGTGGGGGGAGAGAAGGAGAGAGGGCTTTCACCTGGCTCAGGCCTGGGGCTGCCAGTCCCGGAGCATCGCACACACGGTTCCCCGCGCCTGCCCTGCCTCTGCCTCTCCTGAGTGTCCACCTTCTGGCCTCAACAGTGCAGCTCATGCAAGGTTCTCAGCATGCAAAACACAAGAGGAACGGAGCGGAGGGGTCGGGGGCTGACAGGGAGAGGGCTCCAGGACGGGCATGGGGGCTGGCATCGCTCCCCTCCAGGGACGGACGATCCCGGTAGAGAGAAGAGAGAGGGTGGGCACCGGGAGGCCCCGCTAGGGCCGGCCCAGCAGCCCAGGCCCCCAGCGTGAGGGTGAGTGAGGGGATGGAGGGGGCACACGGCACACAGATGGGGATGGGGGCGGGGCAGGACAACTGAACTCAAAACTAAACCGAAGAAAGGGAAGAAAAAAAAAGAAATAAAAAACAAAATCCACAAATGTCATTAGATACCAAAATCAAAAACAATGTCTGAACTCCTGGGAAACTGACATTTTTCTGTTAACATTTTTCTGTCTTTGTTTTCCGGCCCTGCAGAGACCTGTGGAGCTGTCAGTAGCACCCTACTGTCTTTCTGTTTCTCTCTTTTCTTTTCTTTTCTTTTTTTTTAGGTTCTGATTTTTTTAAGTCCCTCTTGGTTAACGTCCACTTACCAATAAAGTGGCACTTCCTCCTTTAGTAGGTAAGATGTGTAAGAGAAGGGAAAAGTGTGGTAGCGTAAGTTCATCATTAGATTCACAAAAATGCAAGAGAGATAGAGAGAGAGAGAGAGGAAAACTCAACCACCCCATTCTAGGCCTAGAGGCCACACTGCCTCTGGAGGAAGGACTGGCAGTGCCTGGCTCCTTGGGCCTGAGCAGGCACCTCCTGGGTAACCATGACCTTTGGATAGAGATGTCACATGTTTTTCCAAAAATGGAGTTAGGACACAAGGATCTGGATACAGAAAACCAGAAAGGACACCTAGTACCTCCAAAAGGGCCCTGACTGGAAATCGGGGTCCAAGAACCTGCCACTACCTCACTTAGGGACCCCGGCCAAGTAACGTCTGCTGACTGGGCCTCAGTTTCCCCATCCACACAGTGAGAGCGTTGGGCTTTGCTTCCTGATGCTCCTTCCAGAGCAAATATTCCAGGATTCTTTGCGTGCCCCCTGACCACCCTCTCCATCCCCCTCCCTCCAGAGAACTGACCCTCCTCCTGTCCTTGGGCTTCCATCTGGTAACAGTTGATTGCTTACACTTGTCTGTCCATCACTCTTACCCCGCCCCCAGTAACACCACCAACTTGACTTTGACTACCCCCAGGGCAGATCTGGTGTCAATTCAGCTCTGTAACCTGAGTTTTTATCACAGAATTTGGCACCTAGTAGGGCCTCAATGCTGTTTGCTGAGGAAGAAAGGTCCTTACAAGGGCCAAGGCTAAACCAGGAAGTCTTAGGTCAGGGGCAGGGTCTAGGCCAAGTTCTTTTGACAGACAGGCTCTTGGATGAGATAACCTTGCTGCCAAGGGCTGGAAGGAGTGTGGTTGGCATGACCCTTGTGCTTCCTACAGGGAGCAGGGTGGTGCCAAGGCGATTGTGTACATTGTATCCTGGATCCAGCCTGGGCATGAAGGTAGAGCCAAGAAGTCAGCCCCATTGGTGGAGACGCATAGCCAGCTCGTGAAGCAGCCAATGAACACCAACCATAGAAGGGGAAAGCAGCTGATCAGAGCCAGATGGGCCATGAAGACCTCCTCCTGGAAGAGCCTGGTGTCTCTCTTTGGGGCAGAGGCAGGCATTGGTGGGCCGAGTAGATATTTCCAGGTACCAAGGTACCCTTTGAGCACCCTTACTCTAGCTAGGCCAGGAGACATGGAGGCTGGGTTGTTCAGCCATAGCCCCTCTGAGTATCATTTCCATTCACAATAGATGTTACCAGGGACCCTTGGCTCCCCAGCACATATTCCCTCCACCCCTGCCGGTATAGCTCCCAAGCCCCCAGCACTAGGTTCTGTCATCCAGCATCCTTTTCCTTCCAGAGAAGGCAAATGAAAAAGACGTCTCCAGGTTCCTCAAATGTCCAGTATCTTTTCTATCCCCTGGGTTGTCAGAGTGTAGAACAGATACTAGGTGGGGGGAGGGGGGTGCCTTGGCAGCCAATGCATAGTACTCACACCTAAGGAGACACTGGACCCCACCTTTTCGAAGCCTTTGCTTGCCACTTTGGCGGCGGTGGTAGGGGTAGCAAGGCAAGTAGGCAGAATACTAAACTTGGGAATTAGGACCTGGATGTGAATTCTGCTCCAACCCAGACTCTGGATCTAAGCCACTATTTCTGACTCCAGGGCAGAGGGCAGCAGGGAGGGAAGACCAAGGGCTACCATGTTCTTTCCCACAGGCGCTGCAAGGCCCTCTATACTTCCCACTGTTGGTCTGGGAGTATTAGGAATAAAAAGGGTCTGGGTTGGGTGGATGTCCACCCCATGATGTTGCTGTCCCTAACCATTGAGGCGGAAGTCCCTGGGCCAGACCCCTTGTGCTGAGCTGGACCCTTCCTGTCTGGCTGGTCTTGAAGTCCAATCTCTTTTCCATTTCCCTCTCACCTCCTCCAAGCCAATTGGCTGCCATAATCCAAGATGCTGGTAATTGGCAAAGTGAACACACTGGAATCAACCCTGATGTGAACTTGCTGTGAGGCCTTTGAGAAGTGACTTACCACCGAGGCCTCAGTTTTCCCATTGGGAAAATGGTCATAACTGAATCTTTCTAACAGGGTGGGCCTATTCAGGGTTCGAGAGGTTCTTTATGGAGTACAAATGACTCACTGTTTCAGCAGAGATAAATAGGGTCGGAGGAGTGCAGGAGGCCTCGGGCCCCGTAACATGTCCCCTCAGTGCCAGGATGATGGAGGGTGGGAGGAAGATGTTGCTAGGTAGGTGGCAGATAGTGCCTTCCCTCAGGGGAAGACTCTGGGGGCCAATCTCACCCTTATCCACCCATCCCTCCAGAAGTCCTTAGGAAAGGATTGCCATGACCCTGCCAGAGGGTGATCCCCATCCTCAGCTTGGCTGGGTCTCATTCTTCAGGAATTGAGGAAGATACGGGCCCAGACACCATGGATCTCATTGCCAGATAGGACTGGTGGCCAGGGACCACCACGTATCTCTCAAAGCCTGTTCTGTGTGAGTCCTGTCACTCTTGCCTGGAACTATTCTCCCTTCTTCCCTCTCCACTCTCTCACCGCCTGGTTAATGTTTCTTTCTTCTTTACAGTCAGCCCAAGGCCACCACCTCCAGGAAGCCTCTCCTGAGCCTCACCCTGAGTCAGGCGCACTCCTCTCTGATCCCACAGACCCTTGTTCCTTCCTTCAGTTTGGGTTGTGCCAGCATGTGCTAGGGCTGGGGCTACCCTGATGGGCAGAGCTCCCCATCCATGGTTCAGCTTGTCCCCTCTCAGGTCTGCCTGCCTCGACCCTGGCATGGATACTCAGACAGGGCCTGGCGCGGAGGAGTGCTCAGCAAATGCCTGCTGGGTGTGTGTGTGTGTGAATGGATGGATGAGTGAGTAAGGCCAGACCTCACCTGGCTCTGAGCCCCACTCCCAGGAGCCCCTCTGCTCCTTGGTACCACGGCTCCCAGATATCTTTTTTTTTTTAAGTTTCTTAATTGTTTTAATAAAACTTTACCTCGGGTTCAATTTATATGATACCTAAACAACCATTTGATTCAGTTAATTTGGAGAGAAAAAAGTACAAAGATATTGGGTGATCACTGACTTCCTATCCAACATCTTTTCTTTTTGCTTATGTAAGGAATTTTTGAGGTGGAAAGACAAGGGGAAGAGAGCAGCAAGGGACAGTGTGGTTGCCTGAGCCTGGTATTCCTACAGATTAGAATAAGTGAGCATCTGGGGCAATTAGCCCCTCCAGCTCAGCACTTGAGGATCCTGTGTCTGGGTGCCTGGTCGCATCAGGTACTCCTTGAGGAGGGGCCTCCACTCCTCCATCGGACCAGCAGCGCTCTCTCCCTCCATGAACAATTTCCTTGTCTGCCCTCCTAGCACCACCAGGATTGAAGAATGTTCTGAGATGATGAGCTACTGGGGACTTGCCCCTGGGGTCAACATGGGGGAAGATGAGCCCTTCTTTTATCAAAGATGAGGTCCAGGGAGGCCTCACAGAGTTGGGATGTCAAACTTCTGTAGCTGCTTCTAGGTGGGAAGAAAACAGTTTAAAGGGCAGAGATGGGGAGATGAGATCTTTGAGGACCTACCTCTGTGACTGGATGAGCGCTGGCTGGAAGACACAAATCCCAGGACCTAGCCTAGTTCTGCCCTAACCTTGGGGATCTGTGGCCTCCACTGACTATTCTTTCTGGATCATTCTGCACATTAAACTCAAATTTGGAAGGTGGAAGGATGCTGGGGGAAGGAGGGAGCCCCTTTCTAGATTGGGTAGTGGGCCAGAGCGCAGAGGGTTAGCTGAGAGTTCCTTCCACCCCCCACAGAGACTTTTCTAAGTAGAACTTACAAGTCCAGTGCCTACTCCTGCAGTTCACTCCCCACCCAAAGCCCAACCACCATCACACCCCAAAATGGAGCTGTGGGATTTAGTCCTGGTGTCAGCTGCTGCCCCAAAGTCCTGCAGCTCCCACCCTAAAGCTCTGCCTTCAGCCAGGGCAGCACCTGCAGGAGCCCAGCAGGCCCCAGAGGATGGGAAAGGGCTCTCTTCCCAGGCCTGACCTCAGCCAGAACTTCCTCCAGGATCCGGAGGGCAAAGGCCCAGCACAGGCCCCTCCAACAAAGATTTAGTGCTCAAGTCACCCCAGGGGCTGGCAGGGGTGAGGGGTGAGAGGCTTAGCAGTTACTCCAGACAACAGAAATCAAATTGGCTCAACCACAGCATAGAGTTCAGGATGGGAACACAAACTTGGAATGCTAAACCACACAGAAATGCATTCAGACAACAAAATGAGAGAGAGCATGAAGGAGGATTGGGAGGTGGGGTGGAGAGGAAGAAGGAGCAGAGAAGGTGGGAATGAGGGAGGAATGAACCAGAAAACTTGTTGTTGGGGGGTGGGGGGAGGTACTCAAGAAAACCAAACGACAAACCAGGAAACACAGCTGTGTAGCTCATTTGGAGAAAATGCAAGTTACAAATGAGTAGTCACTAAAATAAAGAAAGAAAAGGGAAGGGAAGAAAACCAACCAGAGTGAGACTGAGAGAAAGAGGAAGAAAACCACATTCAAACCAAGCAGCGTGGCAGGGCTTATCTGGAGATGGGAGCGAGCGAGCGCACAGCTGAGCTGGGATACCTACCTTCTCAGTGGTCAGGGACGGGAATGCAATAATAAAAAAGAAAAGAAGGTCTCCGCATTGGGAATGCAGAATGGGGAAAGACAGTGACTTTGAGCTGCGCTCCCCCTCTGAGTTGGCATATGGCAGCTAAGTGTGGCTTTTGGTCTAGTCCCAGGGACGGCAGGGGCCTCCTGCCCAGCCATTTCTGTTTGCTTTCCCCCTCCCACCACAGGTTCCAATAGCCAAGCTTTTCTTAACTCTTTAAACAACTGAAAACCTCCAGAGGGCATGCAGGAAAGCAGCTGATGGGAGCAGAACCACAGGGCAGGTGAAGGGGGGCTTG